AGTATTCCTTCTCTTTCTAGACTCAAACTGTTTTAATACCTGTTTAACATAAGCTTTGCCAGAGCTCTCAACCCAGRGTTTTTGACGATCTTGTCGCGATCAAGTTTGATACCTTCATTATCACGATACTCTTCGATGTATCGCTGCTTGTCGTCCTCATTCACACACCAACTAGGGAAGCCGCTACTTYCTTGCTTGATTTTTAAAAACTTGTCGATGTATAATCTGAAGAGTTCATCWGATTTTTCGGGGAAATGCCACACTTGGTCCACACGAAGTACTCGATATCCTTTCTCCAGCGCTTTCATCAACTCCACGGATACCCATGTCCCTTTTATGGCTCTTTCATTTTCATTATGCTGGCAGGGTTCTTGCTGTAAGTCATCGGCACAGGATCGACATAGAGGGAACAGTAACTTGTTGTTAGTTCTGTATGGTAATACTGGATGAAAAAGACGCCGTGGAGGTAGGACTGTACACTTAATAAGACCAAAGTACTGATCCAGGGGTTCAAAGTTCTCGGATATAATCTCTGGGTGTCCAAGAGGGTAATCGCAATACTTATTGGTCCAGGGATACAAACTGAAATAAATGTTGAACAAGTTAGCACTAGTCGGCGTCAATATAGTCATAATTAGCTTCAGAAAGAGACTGCAAAAAAGTAATATATATATATATATCTTTTTTTTTTTACCTTGTAAAATCGACGTACTTGATCTTTTCTCCCTCTTGTACTTTGTGAAATAATTTTATTGCACTAGTACGACCACCAAACAAAGCTTCTCTCGGTTCCAAAGGTTCTCGTAATGGTAAATTATCAAAGTAATTTTTCATCTCCTGGTTCTCAGCCAACTCTTTCTTTAGTTCACACTCCCACTTCTCTATGACAGTATATCCTTGTCCTCGAAGGAAGTCACGGCGCTGCATCGTCTTTTCGTAAAGCTCCCCCATGGTGTTACCCGTTATTGGATTTCGTGTTTTTCTATCGTAGCATTTACTATGACCGTGCCAAAAATCACCCAAGAAAGAGTACACAGTGTTGGTTTCGCTGTGAAACCCATCCACTCGATAAGGACCAATTCGAACTTCGCCCAAATTCCCAGCATGTTGTATGTAAATATCCTCTGTTTCTGCAAGGTACGTCAACCATTTTAATGCTATAACAGACTGCTTGTCTTGCGGAACGTAACCATGTGTTGGAATGATGGCAATAGTTTCAGGAAGTAGGAAATTCTTCCTAAACACCAAGTTACAGGCTGAGGCAATAGTAATACAGGTTTCAAAGGGATCCACGTCTGTTGTTTCTATGAACAAACGACGGAACTCCAGACACGATCTGCGAAGGATGTCAACATCTGAACGGCAATATTCTTCAATTTCTTTCTGCATATCAAACACATAATCATTGGTTGCAAGGTCATTATGCCAGATTAAAAATTGCTCACGGTCTTCAGGGCGCATACCATCGGGATCATAAAAAGACGGGTGTGGTAAAGGACCTACGTACGATTGATTTCCTCTTATATTAAAGTGATGCGGAAAATAACCTTTCCTCAGTTCAGTAAGTCCAAACRTCTTTGGAAGAGCAGAAAGCCTCATGGGAAGGAAGGCTAGGCTGTCGAGAAACTTGATGTTTTGTTCTTTGATTTCCATCGAAAGAATTTTTGCACCATTCATTATAACAGAGGGACATATGGCTTGACGATTAAGGTATGACAATACAAAATAATTATCAAAAGCTTGTACATTATGAGCGAAACAGGTAGTGTTTTTATTATCACCGGAAAACAGCCAYTCGCAGAAGTCATTATTAGCATTGCTGCCTTTAAACACCATTTCGACACCATCCTGGTCTTGAACAATTATAAGATTAGGAACATGAGTGCCTGTTTCCTGAATGGTTTCATAATCATAAAATAGRAACTTTGCGGGTTCTTCACGATTAGGATTGCTTGTACTATCAGTACTCTCACCTTCTTCATCGCAAGGTTGCATAAAACATACGTGATCTTCCTCAGCAAACTCTTTGCACGTGTTACATTTTACTTGGYCACAGTGATGTGSTTCCGGCGCTTGATTTYTCCGTTTAATGATCTTGTTACAATCGTGACACCTCAAGTAACGCAAACRCAGAGAGCTTCCATACTGATTTAAATGTTTGTGATTTGAGAAACAATATTGATTTTTGAAGTATCGGTTACACTCATTACAATACATCCAATTGMTGACTTCGCACGGTCCTTTAAAGCAAAGGTTGCATTTTGATTTGCAATTATGGTCTTGTTCGTGATCATAGCCCTTCTGACAGTGAGCGCAGTAGTTCTTTCRATTCAGAAAGGCTGGCATAGAAGTAATCACATCAAAATGATTGTCGTAAAGAAAACAAGGAAATGCTCTTTTCAGCCTCGCGGCCAGAGTATATGATAGCATTCATCATGTCACCAGAGACTACATTGATTTGATAATCTTCTTTCAAGTGTTCTAGCCCACAGGGACCTCAAGGTACATTGGCATCGTGATGCAATTTCTCAGCTAACTGTTTCAGACGAGAACTTCGAGGTTCCAAAAGATCTTTCAACTTTTCAGGATTATCTRACTTTGTTATCGCTACCACTAGTGCACGAGCTAAACAGAGGTCATCATTGTTCGTAATAGAAATTATAGATCTTTTACTTTTCAAATATTTCTTCAAATCTATCACCTTCCGACTTCCTTTCCCGCTTCCCACAGGCATGGCTGCGTGGATGAAATTAACACTAGCGGATTCATCCAGAGAAAAGCTCTCATGAGACTGGAGAACTTTTTCCACTCTTGCAAGAAAACGCTCRGCAGTAAGTTGATCTCGCCGCATGAAAGGTAGAGCAATAGGGTATTRAAGCTGAGGAGAATGAAAAACCATGCGAACTCGATCGTTTCCTGGTATTCCCGACGCGACACGATCAATGATTTCTTCAAACGCATTGTTCAAAATRGGATGAAGTTCCTCAACTCCGCTTGCATTTACCTTTTCGTTAAAACTAATTCTATAATCCATACCTCTTGWGTTGAATTTTTTAATTCTTACTTCTTTTGCCTCATTTATATGAAATGAAGCTGCCTGTTGTTGTATTGGAGATGGAGRCGGGGGAGACATTACCTCAACCTGATCAGACGACTCATCGGAATCCRTTGAAATCGTGCGTTGACGTTTAGAAGATGGCAAAAATTCATWTCCAGAAATATCTTCTTCGCTTTGAATTCTCTGCAGGCGCCCTCCCTCTTGGGGAWATGAATGGGACTCYTGTCTAACCTCRCTTAAATCTTCATCCATTTGTGAATATCTGTCATCTTCTAGCAAGGAAAAAGTTGAATTCTCGATCTCATGTAACTCTTCAGAAACTAAGCGAGCTCTGGTCTCTAACGCAGCTACTAAAAGGATAGGATCAGGTTCAAGCATATCCATCAAAATATTCAATTCTTCTTCAGAGTCGCACTGTCTTATGAAATCTTCTGGGTTAAATTCAGAATTTTCCATTTTTCAAAGAAAATGATAATGGTTTGAATTTCGTGAATGATCGTGACAGAAGAACACACAGCTTTATTGGTTGAAATACGAGACGAAAGTCTACACTTTAAGAATGAACAACGATTATTCAAAGACAATGGCGGGAAAATTTGAATACAGTAGAATACATCATCGCATTATTGAAACCCAATATTTTTTCCCTACAATAAAGAATTTGTTAGTGTCCTCTTTCAAAGCCTAACTCTGATTGGTCAAACATAACTTGGCGGGAAAAAATATTATATAAATGAACATGAGAGAGAGAGAGAGAGAAAGAGAGAGAGAGAGAAAGACACAATGCTACAGAATCGACAGCACAGAAGTAAAAAACAGAAAGAAGACGAATCGATGGAACAGATTGTAGCCAAACGTACAGTGTGAGTAGATAATACAAAGCAAAATCACAAAGTATTTTTTTATTCCTCCTCCAATATAAATAAATATTAACAGTCTTGAGAAATTTCAAAAGAAATTTAATCAACACAAGTAGAACCTCGATATTTTAGCTCGTATTTAGTTCACATTGCTTCTATTTTATTTTCCCATTTTAACTTAATTGTATTACGTGTTTATGGCTTCTATGACTAGAAGATGCAATCGATAAAAACTAGAACTGTTACATAAAACTAACACAAGATCGATTCCTTTAGGCTATACCCGAAAGAGGGCCAGATAAGACGAAAAGGACAAATCGATATCCAAGAAACGTTTCCTCAAAAATCAAGAGAAGACGTTAAAATATCTGACCTGCCCTACTTCAGAGAGGCCAGCGTGCAATCCCACTTTGCACGATCTATGAACAATATAAAGTCTAAAGAAGAAGGATCAAAGAGCCCCGGCGAAAGCAAGACTACTGAAAAACTGAAACAATTAATGAATATATATGCCGATTAAAGCAATACACAACTTGATCCCCTCAATGATTTAGAGGCACCGATAAATAGTTTTTATAAAAAGAATGATGATTTTGGTGATGATGCATTATTTTTTGACAAGGAAATCGAGGAGACTGATTGTAGAACTGATGAAAATATTGATATGTCATCTGCTTTAAAATCATTGATAGACGATTGTAACTTTGATCAGGACTTAGTTGATTTAAATCAGAGTTATGCTTTCACAATTGATTCGATTTTCAACACATTTTAATCAATAATAAATAAATAAGTAAACAAAGAAGACTATGTCTATTATCTCTTAAATAACATTAACTGGGGAGGTTCTTTGAAACAAAGTTGAACGATATCACACCTTAGTTTCTTCTTCATCAGTCTTTCGGCGAATGGAAAAGATGACTATTTTGTCGTTGTCGTCGTCTGCGTTGTCTGATGGAGGAATATGGTGCTCTGAAAGTTCGAATGCAACTTGCGCTGAAGCTCTCAGACAGTTTCTTTTGACACATTTGAAAAGTATTACTCCAATAGCAATCAGAAGAATGATTACAGGAACCGAAATTGACGTTTGCAAAACCCATTCAATTTGCTTTGGAGAATCATCGTATTTCCGAGTTGTAGTTGTAAGTCTAGTATTTGTTGGGCTAATAACCGAAGAAGACAGGCATACTGACGAAGGTCTTGATACAGACGTCAAGTGCAGTTGCGTAATTGTAGTCGAAGAAATATACAACCCTGTTGTTCTGTCAGTAGATGAAACGTATTCACTTGAGCGAATTGATGAGACGGATAGAGTTGGTCTCGTGGCTGAGATAAGCACAGTTTGACGTGTTGAGAGAGAACAATGCAGGGGCCGTTTAATATCAAAGCTAACCATCGAAAGCAGCGAATCAAGACAGGAGCACAATACAGGATTTCCTGTAAAACAGCCCACGTACTTCAAGCCAGGAAGATTAACGAAGTTCTCAACCACTGGACACTGGATATTATTGTCCTTCAATGACATATACTTGAAGTGGCCACAACTGTTATTAGCATACACGTGAGGGACGATGGACAGCTTTCTTCCAGCGCAATCAATCAGAGTATTAGAGAAAAGACAGTTGCATAACTTCACTGGACAACAGTTTGAGGACACAGGATAAGGAAGGAGAGATAAAAGGAGAAAACCCCACATCATCATCATTGCGAMTCGCGGTGAATGAAACATTTCAGCACAAGTAATTTGTAACTAGTCACGTAAACACAAGAATCAAATTTCAAGTCGGATAATGAGATCAATAAAAACAGAGACATGTCGTTATACAGACAAACATTTTTTTTTATTATCTTATTTCCAAACAAGCTACTACAACAAACAAAAAAAACAAACAAACAAATAAAGAAAAAATTGAATTACAATCTCAAAATAGTCCCCCTTAATTAAAAAACTGTTCTGCGGTTAGATCCTGAAGTGAAGGCATTTTAACGTCAATAGGATCGGTGTTAGCAAAGTTAGTGTCGCTTGTCATCTGATAGTTGGAGGCCGTAATATTATAATTTGCTTTTGGTCCCTTAGAATAGTAAGGTTGATGTCGATWCTTGCTCTCACTCCTGTTCAAATTAGCGTGATGTTGATGGCGGGGTTGGTGTTGGATAGGAGCATTCATTTTTCTTCCTCTTTCACGACGAGATTCCGCTTCTTGTCTTTGGGCCCTCAACTGTTCGTTAACAATCTCCAACGATGCCTGTAAGGTCTCCCATTCGTTAAAATTTAGCGCGATTCCAAACTTGGTAGGAAAATGCTCTCCCGTTACAGGATCTGTATACAGCTTTCTTATATGAATCTTGGGCCCTCCAAGAAACTCACTTGCAAACATAAAAAACCTTTGACTTCCAAGATCTATAGGTCTTGTTGCTGACATCTTGTACTTGTAGGATCAGTTTTTATCTTTGAGCTTGCGAAAACTGAGTGTAAATGTTCTTCGTTTCTTTTTTCGTTTTATACTCAACGCCACATTCCGCAGTTGGCAATCACGGAATCAGTTTACGAAGCATTTATTTTTTCCTGCATAATCCGATTATCACAAAGTATACTTCGACATTTGATCCAGATTTTAAAAAGTCGGGAATTTGCAGGAAAGCATTAAGTTTTCGAACGGTTTTCAATTGTCACAATCGAACAAGATCTTTCCACTGAACAGCTAGAATGTTTCATTTTCTTCAGAACACGGAAGATCGAAAGAGAGACTTCTGGATTGCTTTTCCAGCATCTGAGGATCAAATGCAATCTAATAAAGTTGAGTTGTGGAAAGCGATTTCTCCCGAGGATTTACTGTATGACATTCATGAAGCCGAAGACGATCAGATTATGACTTTAGTCATGGAAATCTACAAAATGATGAATGCCCTTTTTAGYGTTGCAAATCTTTACGACATCGAGGAAAAAAAGAAATCTCTGGCCAAGATTTTGAACATTAAAGAAGTGCGCCGAGGATTTGAGCACGAAGGCCTCTTGATTCAATGGAGCAATGGAATGAAAACATGGGACGGACGAACACAACCTGCTTCCTCTTTGACTGAACTCAGGCGATTTTTGAACACGTTTATTGAACTGATTTATGATGAGTTCTTTTATTTTTTCAAAAATATTCCACGCAAGAAGTTTCTTTCAAACTACAAAGCAGTCAACTGGTGTTTGTCAAGTGATAGAGGCTATCTCAAAGAATGGAATCTGGGCGATGGATCACATTGGTCCATGAAACAACTAGCAATTGAGCGCCTTTTAGAAAAAGAATAAACAATGATAAACTGATATGTAACACGAAATTCAATTTCGAAAGAAATGTCAAATAAATGACAAAGACTTGATTGAAATGATGATTGTTTGATTAATTCATAATTCATATGGGGGAGGGGTGGATGGTATA